TGGCTAAGATAAAAAACACGAATGACAGAAGATGTAGAGAAAGGGGAATACTCCTCCGGTGCCATTGGGAGTACAAACTTGAACAGCCATTTTGGAAATAAATGTGGAGGTTTCTCAGAAAATTGGGAATCAACCTACCTCAAGACCCAACTATACTTACTATATTGGGCATATACCCAAAAGATGCTCAGTCAAACCAGAAGGACAATTATGTTCTTGGCTGCTTTATTTGAAATATCCAGAAACTGGAAACAACACAGTTGGCCCTCAGCTGAAGAATGGAAAAAGAAAATGTGGTACATTTACACAACGGCATATTACTCAACTGTTAAAAATAATGACATCAGGAAATATGAAGGCAAATGGATAGAACTACAAAAAAATCATTCTGAGTGAGATAACGCAGACCCAGAAAATAGACATGGTATGTGCTCACTCATAAGTGGATATTAGATGTAAAGGATAACCATGCTACAATCCATAGACCAGAGAGGCTAGGTAACAAGGAGGATCTAAAGAGGGAAACATGGATTTCCCTGGGAAGAGGAAATACAAGAGATCTCCTGGGTAAATTTTGGGTAGGTGGGAATGGGAACACAATGGGATAGAGATGTCTTGATGGGGGTGAATTTGGGGGTTAGGTAGAAACTTGGTACAAGGGAAATTCCCAGGAATCTACAAAGATGACCCCAGCTAAGACTCCTAGCAACAGTGGATATGTAGCCTCAACAGGCTGCTATCTGTAATCAGATTGATGACCACCCTAATTGTCATTAGATAGCCTTCACCTAGTAATTGATGTTAGCAGATGCAGAGTTCCACAGCCAGGCACTGGCCTGAGATCTGGGAATCCTGTTGAAGAGAGGGACCAACGAGGTCAAGGTCATCACAAGGGAACCCACAGAGACAACTAACTTGTCCTTATCGGAGCTCATAGACACTGGACCAACAACTAACCCTTATGGGACCAACCTAGGTTCTCTACACTCATGTGACAGTTGTATAGCATGTACAGCTTAGTATACTTGTGCAACTCCTATCCATGCAAATGAGGCAGGTCCTTAATGCTTTGGCAGTCTTTTGGGAACCTGCTCCTCATTCTGGGTTGCCTTACCAAGCCTTAATATGAGTGAAATAGCTCAGTCCTACCTCAACTTGATATGCCATGCTTTGTTGACACCCATGGGAGGCATGTCCCTTTCTGAACAGAAACAGAGGAGGAGTGGATGGTGGTGGTGGTGAGCCTTACCTTTAAGTTCATGTGCCACATTTGGCTGTTTGCTGTGTTATATTTTCTTGTGTTTTGGGCTTTTAATCACTGTTGAAGTTTAGTAAGGAAGAACCCTACTAATTTTGGTTATTGTTTGTATATTGCTATCTTCTTAATTACAGGGTAAGACCCATGTTTTGCTTATCCCTGTTTGCTCATTTTATAGCTATTTTCCATTCATTTTTGTTTCTGAAGGGTTTAGGTCAAGGATTACAATTCAGAATAAAACTATGTTTATTTTTATTTTTTATTTATGTATGTTCATGAAAGTACTTGGCAGGTGCTGTAGTGGTCCATCCTGCCAATGGCTCAAAGTATGTAAAATCAGGTAGTTATCATTTTCTTGCAGATCCCTTGATCTTTCTGTTTAATTCCTATTTTCTTGTTGCTCACAATTGTTTAAACAAAATAAAACGTGGCAGTGTAAATGAAGGCTTTTCCTGAAGAATAGCTTTAGCTATGGGGAGAGAATTCAGCCAGTAATATGTCAAGAGTAGTGTTAAGGCTTTGTGAAGAGACAGTCATCTGTTATGTAGCTTCTTTTCTTTTAACAAAGGAGATGATATTAAAACTATAGTTCTTAGATTGTATGCTATAAGCTATTAGTGCATAGGCTGAGGCTGTGTGTGAAGAGCAGGTGTTCTTTGTTGGGCTGCCTTAATCTCAGCTGTAGCTCTGTCTACTGAATGTAGTCTGCTAGCCAGTGTGTGGAGGCTGATTTGTGCAGGAAGTAGCCAGTCAAAAGAAGGATGCCATTCATAGATGGAAATAGAGTCCTCAAGGATCCCTTGTATGCTGGAACATAGCTCCTTATTTGTTGCATTGTGGGGGTGTTCTCAACAGTGGGCTAGGAAGTGTAGTGGGCAAATGAAAGGAAGTCATCAACCACAAGGAAACTACTTGAGTGCTTCAGTAACAGGTGTACATAAGCTTGAGATCAGGTTTATAGTACTAGACATAAATTCCCTCCTGTGGATAGACCTTCCATCAGAAAGTGGTTGTATTCCCCCCAACAGACTTGCCACTATTATACCAGTGAGTACATTTTGCCCAACTGGTTTGTTAGTATAGCACATAGGGTCTAATAACTGAATACTATAGATGATACTTTAACTTCAGCAGCCAAACTACACTTTCTAACACTATGGAAGCTAGTCAGCAAGGAGGAAGCTAACAACTTAGTTCCTGGTTGATTGTCTATGTCCTACAAACAGAACACATGCTATCTTCAGCAATAGGGTTTTACCATCTTGTGGGCAAACAGCAGTAGTGGCAATTGCTTGTATTATTTTAGGGAACTTAAATCTGAACTAACAGCTTGTAGAGGGAGAACCCACCTGTGGCACTGAAATTTTATTTAATAACGTGTTTTTCGGTAGCAGCTTTATATATACATTCACACAGAATATCTCATTCAGATTCTCTGGCTTTTTAATTAGTTTACTGAATATCAAGCTCATTATGTTTTTGCATGTATTCATGTAGTTTTGAGGTTACTCTCTCTCCACCCCTTTTCCATCTCCTTACCCATTCCTCCTCTCTTAACCATTTCCATTCCCAGTATTCCTCTTCCACTTTCATATCGCATGTTCTACCACCTACCCTCACCTTTAAAGCCTTTTTTTTTATTTGTTTGGTTTTTTTAAGGCAGGGTTTCTCTATCACTGCCCTGACTGTCTTGGAACTCACTTTGTAGAACAGTCTGGCTTCGAACTCACAGAAATCTGCCTGCCTCTGTTTCCCATGAGCCACCATGTCCAGCGAAAGTCTCTTTTTATCCCCCTCTTACAGAATGCTTTCTAATTTTCTGGAATTGCCATATTGATTTTTATTATTGTTGATATATGCTAAGTATCTGAAAAATTTCTTAAACTCTAAATATATTATTGTTAGATTTTGTAATTACAATGGAGACAAGTAGCCATTTAAATTATCTGCATAATTATTTGTGAGTAATGTTTTATACCTTGGGAAAATATGATTTTGAATTTTGATGAAAGTAATTGAAGATATGATCATGACAATTTACAGTTTGGATCTTAGGTACTGTGTTTATCTTTTTCCTATGGTGATCCTCCTGGTAGTGTTTGTCTGAGCCATAGAACATTTCCTTTATTGTATTACTTCCTGAGGTAATAGCTGACCTGTTTTTAGTAAACTTCTCCTTAGACAAGATACTGAATATAATATCTTATATATAGTGCTGTAAATAGGTAGACCTTTTGAAACTTTTATTGTCAGTTCTTCATTAGACTTAAATATTTAGTTTGGAAAATGCTTGAAATTCTTTAATGTACAGTATTTGTAAATGTGTGTTTTATGTCAAAGCCAGTTTTATTTCATTTGAATTCATAATTGAATATTGTTAAGGGCCAGTGTCTGCAGTGATGACTCCTACAACTCTTCAGTTTGTCATTGAAACACTCCACAGGTGAGAGAGTATCATGACACTGTGTGTCAGAGAAAGCTACAACAGTGTTCAGAGCCTAGACATCAGTGCTGCAGTGAGGTAGGGGCCTGTTTGTGGAGGAGCTGAAGTTGCCATTTGGGCCTCCACAATCTTGTTCTTCAGGTTCCACAATTCATCCTTTGGTTCTGCAAGGATGTGGGTTGAACTAACCACTTGTGTGGCAAAGACTCCAAAAGATCTGTCATGGTACTAAAAGGCTTGGTTTCTTTGAAACAGTGTTTTTTTGTAATCATGGCAAGGGACTTCCCAAAGGAGCAGACCTCTTTGAGGAACCTGTTTGAAGAAGGGCAAAGGGTTGGAAGCAGACCATAGGGTTGGAAGCAGACCATTGGGTTGGCCAGTCCTTGCATTTGCTCTTTCCTGGTCCATGTGTAGGCCCAGATCATCCTTGAAAAATGTTTCCCCTCATTCAACAGGAAAAGAAGATGCCAAATGCCAGACAGCACAGACTAACAGTTTAGGTGATCCTGAACAAGGAAGTCATCTATCAATTCAGCTGCCCTCAAAATTTCCAGTGCTAGCACCAGTGCATCTTCTAGGGGCATGTAGCAATGTGTTTGGATGGATTCATAAAGCATGATTACAGTGTAGGAGGATTGTTTCAAATTAGACTTCCCCACAGGAATACACAGTGGGGAATCATCATTTTTAATATCCTCTGTGTTATGTCCATAGAACAATATAGTTTGAAGGTGTGGCTCCATCCTGCACTTTGTGAAGCACTTGGTAAGAAGGGCTAGCAAAACTTGTCTCTCTGAGTATTCCTGACTGCCAGGATCTAGCTGAAAGTACTGGCATTGCTCATGTTTATCATCATTCCTTTTATGAATAATTAGCTACCGCCTCCCATAACTCATGAGTACTTCTTAGTTTGTCTTCACTCTCCTTTAAGTAGTCCTCTTCTGGAAATTAAGAAGTTGATGGGAAAGGTTTACATGGCTTACTGCTTTTAGCTACTAAAGGTCTTTTATATTGTACTAAATAATACCTGATCAAGGAAGACATCTTAAGCCAGTCCATCATTAAGGAGTCAGGGCAGGAGCAAAAGGCTGGAAACTGGAGGCAGAACCATGGAAGAACTGCTTGATGGCTTCTTCTATATATGTGCTTTTAGATAGTCCTTTGAGGGAGAGGGGGAGAGGAAGAGAGGGAAGAGAGATGTCTGTTTTTCTTTTTTAATGGAAACCATTGGGGAAATACTGGATGATCTGCAAGAGTTCCCTTTAGATAGCATTCTAAATATATAAACTTTTTGTGCAGGTTTTGCCTGGATCATCTCGTCAGAGTTACTCACCTTCTGGCTTTCAGGATTTCAGTAAGTGGGAATCAGTGTTGAAAATAAAAGAAGGACTTCTAAGGCAGAAGGAAATTGTAATTGATAGGTAAGTCTGTTTTTAATTACTATTTCAGATTGTAAAAATTGTAGATTAATGAAACAATTACTATCTCATCCACTACTTAGAATTTGAAATTACAAACAAATTAATGTCTCATGTGTGTCCTCTCTAGTCCCATGGCATGCAAGAGCTATCAGAACTGAGGTTGGTGTGTCTGTCTGGTCTCTGACATGCTCTGCATTTGCTTTAGTGAGATCATTCTTTGGAAGATAGTCTCTACCTTTCTCCACAGGCTGCATCTAACTGTCACAGCTGCAAGGTGATATCTTTTTATTTGCCTTAGGATACTGCCAGATTTGGACAGCCACACTGAAGTTATAAGTTCTTTTGACTAGTATATATTAGATTTGAGACCATGTAAATACGAAAAGGCTATATTTTAAAATTTATATAGTCTAGAGTAATAATTGTGAAAGGGTTTCTTTTTACAGCATTTAAAATTCTTAATATTTTAAATTTATTTAGACTTACTAGAAAGTTTTGAGCAATAATCGTAAGGTTATTGTGTTATGTTATCTTTAAAATATATGGATGTACATCGTTAGTATCTGGTATTGTCAAGGGTGTTCATATTAAGATACTTTAGAAATTGAGGAGGATTTTTTTCAGAAGCCAGTGTTAATTGTTGCTTACTTTTGTGTGCAGCTATAGGATAAACAAAGGAAGTGAAAAGATAGCTGAAAAGAGCTGCAAAAAATGGGATGAAGTGGAAAAGGAACTTTAACATCCTCAGTTTCACAGCAAGTAGGGAGGAGAAGCAGCAGCTACTTGTGGAGTTGAGATAGGGATTAAGCCTTCAAGGGTAGGCTGCTCAGGGCTGGAGCTCAGTCCAGTAGTAGAATGTTTGTCTTATGAGCACAAGTCCCTGGGTTCAGTATCCAGTACCATAAAGGGGAAAAAGAATGCTAGTATTTCCTAAATGGTCAAAGTTTAAGGGTACTGGCAACATAGCTCGGTTGGTAGAGTACTTGCCTGGAATACATAGCACCCTAGGACCATCTAAAACTGGGAGTAGTTAGAATGCCTATATCCCTTGGACTTAGAAGGTAGAAGCAAGAAGGCAGGAAAAGCACGAGTTCAAGGCTATCTGTGGCTAAATAGCCAGTGGGAAGCCAGCTTGGACTGCATGGGGGAAGGGAGAGGAGAGAAATGGAGGAGAGAAGAGAGAGAACAGAATTGAAAATAGTAGACTTCTCAGTAAGAACAAACCAGAAGAGATACCCGAACCAACAGCACACAAATTATAACACAGAATCTATCAGAAGCATGGGTGGGGTGGGGTGGCAAAGCAAAATGACTCCTTCAAAAAAAATCATAATTCTTCAACTATTGAACTCAAATATATGGAAATGAGTGAAATTCCTAATGAAGATTTCTAAAGTTTCCTGTTGAGAATAATCAAGAATCTGAGAGAGATTACCAAGAGCTGGAATCCCCAGAATGTAAAAGCAACACAGAGCAAGAAGTCATCAAAATGGAGGGAAATCAACAATGTGGATGAAAATTCAGAAGGGTGGAGAAAAATTGAACTCGGAATTTGAAGTTTTGAAAAAAAAAATGTTGGACATAAAAATCTCAGTCAAAGAGAAAACAGCATGAATAGGCTTCACCAGAAGAAAGATCTTCAAAAATGGAGGGTGAGGTTGATAAAATGCTGCATTCAAACACCAGTAAAGAGAAACATGAACACAGTGTTTTCAAACCTGTGGGATATGATGAGCAGACCAAACCTAAGAACCCATAGGATAGAACAAGGTGATGAGAGAAACACTAAAGACATACTGAATCTAGTCAATGAAATTATAGCAGAAAACTTCCCAAAGCCTTAAAAATGAAATAGATGTTCAAATAGTAGCCATTTTAGAACAACTTAAATTGACCTATAACCATTAGAGAGATTGAAGTATTAATGTTTCATAAAAGGGCAGTTGATATTATTATTATTATTATTACTTTAGTTAAGGCATATATATATTATATATATGATATACATATATATATGATATACATATATATATATATATATAATATATATATATGATAGCAAGATACAAATAGGTGACATGATTTTATTTAGTATGGGGTAGGATCCTATAAAGAATCCACTTAAAAATCTTAGCTCTGACAAACATTTTCATCAAAGTAGCAGAAACAAGATCAAAACCTTAAAAATTAGTAGTGTTTTTAAGCACCAATAAATAAATATGCCAAGAAGTGAAAATCCTATTCACAGTAGCATCAATAAAAATAAAATACCTAGGAGTAAACCTAACCAAATAAGTGAAAAACTTCTTTGAAAACTTTATGGCACTGAGGAAATTAGAGAAGATACTTAGAAGATAAAAACATACCATGCTTGTGGATTAGCTGAATTAATTTTATAGAAATGACTAAACTACCAAAAGCAATCTACAAGGTCAAAGAAATTACCATCAAAATTCCAATGATATTCTTACAAAGAAATAGAAAAAAAATTCTAAAATTGCTTAGTGGGGCTGGGAATATAATTTATTTGGTAGAGTGCTTGCCTAGCATACATAAGGCCCCAAATTTAGTTCCCATCACCACATAAACTAGATGTGGTATATGTACCTGTAGTCCTGGTATTCTGGACATGGAGGCAGGAGGGTAAGAAGTTCAAGGACCCATGTAGTGTGAATCTTTTTTGTTGAGGTTAGAGAAGTACACTATTCTATTGATTGATATAAGGGTAAGTATTAAGAAGGCAGTTGGATATTATATCCAGTTAGCAAAATAACAAAAGTAGGTTCTCCCTTGGGGACTATGATGTATATAGTCATGGGTTCTTCACCCAATTTATAGTTCCGGGTATGAGTTCTGTCCTCCTCCACTCCTCATTAAGGCTTAGAGATCATTACGGAAGATGGGGTGGAAAGATATAAGATCTAGATGTTACTGTAAAACAGTTTAACATGATAGGACTGTTTCACACATGCATTCACAGTACCTGTAGTTGCCTGTGCAAGACCTGCTCAAGAACAAGCCAGTCAAATTCCAGCATGGGTGGGGGAATCCTAAAGCCCTACCCCTAGCAGAGGACTGTTGACAGTTGATGCCAGTTTTCTTCAGGGATGTTCCTGGTAGAGGGCACTGTATTCATGCATATAAGGGAATTACTGATTGGACTCAGTTATTTTTAAAAAAGACTACATCAAGTAGAGATGGAGACATTGTTGTGGGGATCTAGGAGGAATTAGAGGGAAGAGTGTGGGGAAAGGGTGGGTATAATTAAAATGCACTGTGTACATGTATGAAATTCTGAAAGAATAACAAATACATACAAAAGATCTCCCTTGGGGTATATAGTGAGTTCAAAGCCAACTTGGGATACCTAAAACTGTCTCTTAGCAAGATGACAAAATAAAACCCTTACAAAATATGTTTAGAAGAACAAAATCCCTTAGTAGTCAAAGTAATCCTTAGAACAATGGTGGAGGTATCAGTGTACTTGATTTTAAGTCATTACAGAAACATGGTAACAAAGCAACATGGTGTTACCACAAAAATAGACACGTAGACCCAGAAATAACTTCCACAGCTACAACTACAGTGGTGTCAAAACATACACTGGAGAAAAAATGGTCTCATTAAGAAATGGTACTGTTATTACTGCTGTTGCCCTGAGTCTTAGAGATCCTGCAACTATGGTTTCGCAGAATCAGTTCCTTAAAATACTCCAGAAGATCATAGATGGGTAGATGTTGTGAAGTGCCAACTCTAAGCCTTGGATGTGTGCCTGGGTGACAGCTGAGTCGGTCAGTCTAGGCCACTGAGGCTGGCTCACCTCAGGTGAGGGCTTGATCCAGCTCCCCCAGGCCCACGATGAGGGGTGAGGTGAGCTTTCTCGAATATGGGGAGCCAGCTCTGCTATTATGGGCAGGGACAGAATATTGGTGGGGTCTAATTTTGATGGTATACCAAAGCCAGAGGCCTTGAATCGAACCAACAATTCATTACACAATGAATATTTGCAAGCAATGCTGTTTGTACAAAAGGGTATATGCTGCATGAAATACCATAGTCCTAATGCCACTAGGATAAATGAAGATGTGATGGAGAGCCAGGAAAGATGAAGGAGTGAAATGTTTTTTCCTTTTTAAAACAATTGTTTTTCTTAATCTTATTTTTAGTCTTGGCTTTCTTTGTGGGGGCACTACAAGAGTGAGGGACAGATACAGAGGGACTGGGAGATGAGTGGGATTGCATAATGTGAAATTCCCAAACAATAAAAAAAAAAGGAAAGCCTCACATATCAGCCTTACAAGGTAAAAAGGCCTGGAGACAGATGGTAATGGTGGCCGCACTGTAGTGGGGATGTCCACTTGAAAAGATTAAAATAATGAGTTTTTTGAAATGTATATTTTACCTCATTTAAAATTTTTTTTTTTTTTCCGAGACAGGGTTTCTCTGTGTAGTTTTGGAGCCTATCCTGGCACTCGCTCTGGAGACCAGGCTGGCCTCGAAGTCACAGAGATCCACCTGCCTCTGCCTCCCGAGTGCTGGGATTAAAGGCATTAAAGGCGCCACCAACACCCGGCCCTAAAATTTTGATATAAAATAAATTTATATAAATTTTTAAACTCCCCACCCCTCGAAAAAGAAATGGTACTGGGAAAACTGGATTCTTATATGTAGAAGAATAAAATTAGATCCCTCACCCTGTAAAATTAGCAATTCAAAGAAGATTCATTACCTTAATACAAACCTGAAAGTTTGCAACTATTAGAGTAAGACATAGATTGTAGGCATAAGCAGGAATTTGCTCATAAGAACAGGTAATACCACTTTGTGGGAGCTTGTGTAAGAAAACTGTGAACTATGGGTGGGGCAGAGTGTAGAATGTTCTTCCCACCAAGTGTCCTAGGAAGAATTGCTAAACTGTGTATCTTAGGGTTTCTATTGCTGTGACATAACACCATGACCAGAGCAACTTGGGGATGAAAGGACTTGTTTGGCACTGTTCATCATCAAAGTCAGGACCCGAACCTGGAGGCAGGAGCTGATGCAGAGGCCATGGTGGGGTGCTTCTTACTGGCTTGCTCTCCATGGCTTGCTCAGCCTGATTTCTTATAGAACCCAGGTCCACCAGTCCAGGGGTGGAAATACCTGTAATGGGCTGGGCCCTCCCCCATGAATCACTAATTAAGGAAGTGCCTTACAGGCCTTGCCTATAATCCAGTGTTGTGGAGGCATTTTCGTAGTTGAGGTTCCCTCCTCTCAGTTGACTTCAGCTTGTGTCAAACTGATACAAAACTATCCAGCACATTGTGGTCAGTGGAAGCACATGAAAGCAAAGTCATGAGGGGAATGCCCTGGCATGGCCACATTACATCTGAGGGAAAGGCAAAGGCAAAGGCCTGGTAGGAATATTCTTGGCTCTTTCACATGACCAAAGATGTACTCATGATACATTAACACTAGGTATATTGCCTTCTGTCCTTGTATTTGAGGAAACTAGCTGTAAACATCACCTTGTGTATTACTTGCTTTAGTAATAAAAAGAAGTGCTCTGGGATCTGTGGAGACTTAGCCTCACTGACTGGGGTGTGTTGACAATTGACAAATGAATAAGAAAATCAGCACAGCAATAGAAATATTCAGAAGAATGAAGAGACAGCCCACAGAATGAAAACAAATCATTACCAACTCTATTTGATACAGGGGATTAATTTCTTGAATTTATAAAGTATTATAAAAATTAACACCACAAAACTAAGTCATCCTATTAGAAAATGGCCTAATTAACTGAATAGAACATTTCCTGAAGGAAAAATACAAATAACCAATAAATGCTTGAAAAATTTGGAAAATGTAAATTCAAACTGCTTTCATATTTCATCTCTCTACAGTCAGAAATGTCTGTTTTCAAGAAATTATGTGGTAACAAATATGGTGAGGTCAGTTCTCACTGATATAGTGAATATAGGGACAAATGATTTTTTTCTCCATTTTTTATTTAAATTAAAAACAAGATTGTTTTACATGTCAATCCCAGTTCCCTCTCCATGCTTTCCTCCCCTGCCCCCACCACCCTACCTATCCCATAAGCTTTCTGCTCCCCAGGGAGGGTGAGGCCTTCCATAGGGGGTCTTCAGAGTCTGTCATATCCTTTGGGATAGAGCCTAGGCTCTCCCCCATGTATCTAGGCTCAGGGAGTATCACTCTACGTGGAATGGGCCCCCAACGTCCATTCCTATGCTGGGGATAAGGACTGATCTACTACAAGAGACCCCACAGATATCCGAGGCCTCCTCACTGACGCCCACGTTCATGGGGTCTGGATCAGTCCCATGCTGCTTTCCCAGCTATCAGTCTGGGAGCCAAGAGCTTCCCGTTGTTCAGGTCAGCTGTTTCTGTGGGTTTCACCAGCCTGGTCTTGACCCCTTTGCTCAGATGAGTTCTTATTCACACCTGGTAGAAATGTAAACAGGTACAGCCACTGTAGGGATCAGTAGAGATTCCTCAAAGAACGAAAATAGAAATCCTTGGGATTCAACCATACTCTTAAGTCAACATACTACAGAGATACTTGTCCATTCATGTTTATTACTGCACTATTCACACTAACCCACACATGGAACCAGCCTAGATGTCTATCAAAGGCTGAATAGATAAAAAAGATATGTGATGATACAGACATTGGAATTTTATGCAGCCACAAGAAAAAGTGAAATCATGGCATATTCAGAAAAATGGATGGAATCTCTGTAGGGGGAAATCCTGTTTAGAGGTAATGCTGACCATGCCCACTTGGGGCTGGCCACAGATGTTGCTGACCACGCCCATTTGGGGGTGGTCAGAGTGACCTGGGAAAGGTTTAAGTAGTTTAGAGGTGCACACGGCCCCTTCTCCCCATCCCTGCCACCTGGCTGAGTGGACTTGGGTGAGTACTATTACTTAATAAACTACCTGTTACCAATCTAGATCTGATTCCACATTGTGTTTGGCTTTAAATCTCTTTGTGTGGAATCTAAATTTAAAGTGTGTGTGTGTGTGTGTGTGTGTGTGTGTGTGTGTGTGTGTGTGTGTGTGTAGCTCATGTAATAAGAATTGAATCATGAGAGGGAAGGAAGAGATCCTAAGTGAGGGAGGAAATAGAATAATGGAATACATGTGATAAGAAAACTTAGGGACGGAAGGTAAGGAACTAGACATCAGGTCAGAAGACCCGAGGGAGGGATGCTGGGAAGAGAACAAATGCCAGCAAAGTGTGACACATGTGTGATGATGATGCTGTAGTGAAACTTACAACTTTTATGTTAACCAAAGAGGAAAAGATGGGCAGGAAAACTGGTGTTAATGGTAACTTAGGATATGTATCTTTAGCTTTGTGGTGGACACTGTAGTGAAGGAGTGGTGGTGATTTTGCATCACAGTTGTCAGTTAAATTTGAACATCTAAATACAGTTTTGATAGTTTACTTTTATTGTAGTTGTTTATATTTATGTACATAGCATATTGAATCCATTATAGATTATTTTTAAGTATGTATTTCCATTCTCAACTGATAAGTTCTAAAGGTGAATTCTAACATTGGTGAGCTAGCATTAGATTCCACAGGATCAAAGACATGGTCCCCAGAATCCCTTTCTTTGCTTCAGACACCAGCCACAGGTGAGACCTCAGGCAATTATCACAACCATGTTAACAGAAAAAATAATTTATGGTAGCTTGGAATCCAGTGCAGCAAAAGAATTAGAATATCTAAAAAATTAGTTGCTGAGAAAAATTTTGAAAAGAAACTGTGTATTTGTTAATTTTTTGAAAGGGTATCTTTGTTAAATTTTCTTAGAAGAATAGTTTCCACTGAGGAGTTTTGATATGTAGATTTCTACTTGTTTACACACATAAATTATACATATGATTATTGTGTTGTGGGTAGTGTCTTCCAGTCTTGCTTTTTCCTCTTTTGTGTGTATGTCCTTTCATGTGTACGTGTCTGTTGGTATGCATATTTACTTATATGATGTGCTTATGTATATGCAGTATGCTTAAATGTATTTGTGTGTGTGTGTAGGCCTGAAATTGATCTTAGGTGTCTTCCTAGACCCTTCTCCACTTTATTTATAGAGGCAAGATGGTTAACTGAACCAAGGGCTACCCAATTCCAGGTAGTCTAGCTAGCCAGCTTGCCCTGGGGATCATATTTCTGCATCCTGAATGCTACAGGCAGTTTCCATGCCTGCCTGACATATACATGGGTTCTGGGGGTTTGACTCTGTCCTTCATGTTTGGGTGGAAAGCATATCTCCTTAGCCCAATGGTTTTCTTTTCTTTCACATAGAAAAAGGGTTTAGTTAACTAATTTCAACCCCAGTGGTTGAGACTAGACAGAATTTTTACACACTTTTTAAAAAGTAGTAAAATACTAAAATTTTGCTTCACTATTTTTTAGGAAAGTATATTCTTTATAATGTGACTTCAATTTATGTTTTACAGGCAGAAGCAACAAATTAACCACCTACATGAAAGGATAAGGGATAATGAATTACGGGCACAACATGCCATGCTAGGACATTATGTAAATTGTGAAGAATCTTATATGAGCAGTTTGCAGGTAAGCATATAGAATTCTTTGTAGTTTATAGTCGACTAATAAATCTGTACTTACAGTATACTTTCTTTATTACATTAGAGCATGTTAAATTAATGTTTTGAAATAGCAGCAGATTTGCATAGTTCATGTTTGTTTATAAAAGGTTTGTAACTACTTTCTTCCATTTGTCCTTTTCACATCCCTTTCCTACACACATACAGAATAAGCTGTCATCAGTTTCTAGGGTACCCTTCCAGAGTTGATGCATATTGTAAACAGATAAAAATGCATTTTAGTTCTGTATATTTACAAGAATCTTAAGGATATTCACATTGTTTTGTACCTGGTATCATTCTTATTAATATAGGATTATATAAAATATGATAATTATTTCTACATCATTTTAGATAAACCACTCTATTTTTATTTGGTTTTGTAGCTATATGATTTTCTATTTTATAGAAATCATAATTTATTCAACCATCTGTTACTCATTAAAATTAAGTTTGTTTGCCATTTGGTATATTATAAATGATGTTCCAAAAAGTAACCTTTTGTATTGTTTTGCTCCTCACATACATTTATCTTTGTAAATTAAAGTTCTGAAAAGTGAAATTTCTGTTAGATAGATGTATATGTGTATGTTTAAATGGAGACTCTACTTGTGGCTTAATTTTCTTAACAGGATATCATTTCATCCATTTTCTTGCAAACAATGGTTTCAGTTTTCTTTAAAGCTGAACAAAACTCCATCTTGTATACATATGTTTCATTTATTCATCTGTTGATTGGTATCTAGTTAGTTCCATATTTTTACTGTTGCAACTAGTGTAACAATAAACATGGCCTGAAAGTGTCTCTGGTATGCTTAGCTTCCTTCCTGCTGTGGGTGGTAGTGCTACATCATGTATCAGTACTGGTTTTACTCTTTTGAAGAACCTCCAAACTGCTTTCATAGTAACTGCACCCACCAATGTGCTTAAAGGGTTTTCTTTCCCAGCCTTGCTGGCTTTTAAAAAAATGATAGCCATTCTGATTGGCGCGATAGAGAATTTCATTGTATTCATTTTCCCAAGACTAAGGTTTGATCATTTCTTCAAATACTTATTAGCTATTGTATTTTTTTTCTTTTGATAACTGTTCATTTGCTCATTTATTGGTTGACTTAATTTGTTGTGATTTTGTTGTTTTTTTATTTTTATTTTTATTTTTTAGTTCCTTTTAGAGTCCATGTGTTAATCCACTTTTGGATGTATAGTTGCCAAAGACATTCTCCCATTCTGTAGACTGTCTCTTTACTGCTGAAAAATTTGTTTCATATTTCATCAGTTTCTGCAGTTGTTTCCTGAGACATTGGCATCCTTTCCAAAAGCTCTTGCCTGTGCCTATATCTTTGGGAGCTTTTATTTTTTAACATTTATTTGTCAGTGTGTGTATATGTGTCCATTTGAGTATGTGCCATGGTGTGTATGTGGTCAGAGGTCAGGTTTTCTCATCTTGTGGTGCAGGGAATCAAAGTCAGGTCTGAAGGCATGGCAGTAAGCACCCTTTCTTGCTGAGTCTCTCAACAGTCCCTTCTCTAAAAGTTTCAGAGTTTCAGGTCTGGCATGAAGGTCTTGGATCTGTAGTTTAATTTACTTAGGTTTAAATTGAGAGGCATGTGCCCAGTGTCAGTTGTTTTAGCACCATATTGTTGGTCTCTTTTCTCCAGTGTAAGTTTTTGTTAATCTTGTCAAAAATTGGGTGGCTGTAGCTATGTGGTTCCATCATTTTATCTTGTATGTCTGTCTGTGTGTCAGTATCATGGTAATTTTGTTACTATGAATCTGTAGTATAATTTGAGGCTAGCTGTCATGGATCCTTTAACATTGCACTTTTTTTTTCTTAGGATTGCTTTTGCTTTTCAGGATATTTGGGGCTTTCATACCCCGTTTCAGCTTTTTCTAGGTATGTGAATGATGATAGGATTTTATTCATTCATTCATTTATTTATTTATTTATTTATTTTTGGTTTTTTGAGGCAGGGTTTCACTGTGTAACAGCCCTACCTGTCCTGGAACTCTGTTGACCAGGGTGGCATCAAATTCACAGAGATGTACCTGCCTCTGACTCTTGAGTATTGGGAATAAAGGCGTACACCACCACTGCACAGCAAGAATTTTTTTTTTTAACCAAGGATTGGTGAGCCCGTTCTCTACCATTTGAAGCTAAACCATGTGACTTAACAGGCTATACTGCAACTACCCTGAAAAGATTCTTCTTTTCTTTCTTTTTTCCCTTTTTTGTTTTTTCTTTTGTTTTGCTTGTTTTTTGATTTTTCTTTTAAATTTGGTTTTTATTTGGCACTGGGGGAGGTTTGCAAGGGCAGAGGTCAGATGCAAGGGGACTGGGAAGATAAGTGGGATAGGAATACATGATGTGAAGTCCACAATCAATGAAAGTTAAAAAAGAAAAAATAATTTAACAATCCCCATCATTTTAATTGTAACTGTGTGTAACCATGTGTTTGGGGGTGTGTGTCTATCAATGTATGTCTTAGTTAGGGTTTCTATTGATATGAAAAGATACCATGACCAAGGCAACTACTATAAAGAAAGGATTTAATTGGGGTGACTCACTTACAGTTTCAGAGGGTCAGTCCATTTTCATCATGATGGGGAGCATGGCAGACGTACCAGAGTAGTAGCTGAGAATCCTACATCTTGCAAACACCAGAAAGTAGACTGAGATACTGGGCGGTATCCTGAGCATAGGAAACCTCAAATCCTGTCCCCACAGTGACACACTTCTTCCAAACGGCCACATATCCTAATAGTACCACTTCCTGTGATATTGTGGGGACCAATCACATTCAAACTGCCATAGCTAGTGCCTTCAATTTCTTTCTTATGTGTTTTAGCAGGATTTGTTTATTTGCTTGTTTGCTTTTTTGAGACTAAAGTGCAGATATACCATTGAGAATGACTCCACATGATCTTAGTAAAGGACTGTGACCTGGGAACAAAATTGTGGCTAAGCCTAGTTTAGTGGGAATGCAGACATGGTGTCTCTTCTGTCTTTAAAATTTATAGGGCCACTTTTTTCAAAGATTTCTCTCCATTTTAGGAATTTTTTTCTTAAAACTCAACTTGCATATTTTTTTGTATAATTTATATTTGGTCTATTTATTTCCCAAAGAAAAATATTTTTATTGTGATTTTAAAATAAGAAATGAACATTTCTTATAGGTATGTGCTTCAGTTTGTGGAGCAATTTTTGCTATTTTTTGTTAAGGTCTTTATTCCTAGATGTCAAAACTCATTTGAAGTGGATTTTTTCCTTCATTGTACTCTCAAATGTGTTATTTGTAAAAATTAAACTAATTAGATATTGAAGTCAGGAAATATTAAAAACCAACTAGCTGTAAGACTGAATGCAATTAGGGGCCCTTAGGATAGTGGTCTAGCTAGCTTTTTTTACTTTGATTGCACTATGTCATGATACTTCATTACTGTGTACTCTACTTTGACTTCAGTTACAAACAGCATTTCCCTATGGGCTAGTGCTGAGACTAACAGTGCAGTTTTGTGAAAATAGTATTCTTTTCCTAACTAGTATAATTTGTTTTGAAAACAGTATTTTAGTAGAGCCATGCAATATTTCCTTACAACTTCATCCTTAATAAATATTATTCTTGGATTATACAATTATTGTGTTATCAGAAGCATGTTAAGAAAAAAAGAAATAAAGAGAGAGAGAGAAAAAAAAAAACCCAAAAAACAAAAACCATCTGAACAGTGTTTGTGGCCAGTAGATGGCTCTCTGAGTCAGTTTATCAATGATTGCTTTTGTGGTTCTTGCCTGTCCTGTGAGAATCAGAGTCCTCATTCCAGTTCAGATGGTTGAGATTGTCCTCCACTTTTCTTTCTTTTGTTGTGTTTTGTAAGTGTGTGTGTGTGTGTGTGTGTGTGTGTGTGTGTGTGTGTGTGTGTTTGTGTCTCAGAAAGATGTCTCTTGATAGTCCTTTACTTGCTCTCCCCACTAGCTAGGTAACTTGTTTAGTTTAGGGAATGATGGTTTCTGTTTTAGGATGGTCAAATTGTGTATTCAGCTTCTTTAATAATATATTAAAGGTCTCTGAATTTCTTTTGTGTGTCAGTTTTGCCAGGTGTTGTTCCATTTCATTGAGTTTATAAAGTTTTCTGGGACTGGAGAAGTTCCATTGCAATTCTTCTTTTATTTCTGATGTTAGTGATTTTGGTCTTCTTTTTGTTTTCTTCCCTTAGCCTACCTGAAGAATTACTGGTTTTTATTGGTTTTAATAAATGCTCAACTCTTGTTTTGTTGAGTTTTCTGTATCTTATTTTTAATTCCATTGATTTTTTTGCTCTACTTTTTTCTATTTACTTCGAATTTAATTTTCTATGCTTTTTCTAGTTTACTAACATTGGAGACTTACATAAATTTTAGATCTTTCTTGTATAAAATATATCCAGTGGTATAAATTTCCTCTAAGCACTGCTTTATTTAAATCTCACAAATTTTTAGTTATCTTTTAGCTGAGACTTTTAAAGTTCCCCTTGACAGTTTTTTGTTTTGTTTTGTTTTGTTTTTTTGTTTTTTTGTTTTTTCGAGACAGGGTTTCTCTGTGTAGCTTTGGAGCCTATCCTGGCACTCACTCTGGAGACCAGGCTGGCCTCGAACTCACAGAGATCTGTCTGCCTCTGCCTCCCGAGTGCTGGGATTAAAGGTGTGCACCACTAACGCCCAGCAGACAGTTCTTCTTTAAGCCATATATTATTTATCAGTGCTTTGTTTTGGAATGTCCCAGGTTTTTGTATGTGGTTGAATTCTGGTTTAATATACCTGTGGTCTGAAGGCAGGTATTTGATGAGTTTTCAAATTCTAAAATGTTATTTATGGATTAGAATGCTGTTTTCCTGCTGAGTGTTTCAAAGGAACTTCAGAAGTCTGTGGTCTAGTTGAGGACTGAGTAATCTGCTGCTTGATGGGCTGTGAGAGTACGTGTGTTTTCATTGATGTTTTGCCTGTGTGGCTGTCCATTCTTGAAGCTGTTGAAAAGCCTTCAGTGACTATAGTTGAAGTGTATTTCTTCTTGCAGTTCTGTTACCCAGCCTATAGTATTTTGTTACTCTTTTATCCTGTTTAAGACTGATTTGTATTATTAATAAAAGTTTCTCATAGAAGATAAATAGGGCTCTTGCTCTTTGATCCACTCTGACAATCTCTGGTTTTAAGTTGGTGCACTTAATCCGGGGATGTTCGTAGTGATTTAATAGCTACCACATGTGTAAATATTTTCTATTATTGTTCTGTATTTGCATGTTTCAATATAACAGTTTTTCTCTTTTGTCATTTTAATTAAACATCATATATGAATATTTTTCTTTTATTTCAATAACTTTAGTGTTTGCCCTAGAATATTCACATACATTTGCAATTAATCTTAAGTCCAGTGTCCACATATATCTAGGTTTGTGTCAAGTTGACAAAAATCAATCGCCACAGCAGAATCAACCTATTTTTAAGGAAATGTCTCAAAAGTCACTACCCCACTAAAGCCCATTTATTCATTCTCCCAGTGTTCTTTATTTTGCTCTTGTCCAGTACTTTGTATTTTATGTGACCTTTATTTGGTTACCTCATTATATTGTTTCCTATGCTGCTATAATTATCTAAGGGCTTCTCCTTTAACATTTGAATTCTTAAAAGCTAGTGCCAGAGTCTGCAACATTGAAATATCCCTGCACATGACAAATAGTACTTACAAATTGAATGAATGCCTAGCTTTTGGCAAAGCACTAGTGCTTTAAGACCTTGTTCAAAGTCACTTCTTTCCACCTTCCCCTAACTACTGCATCTGTCACCATCTTAGACAATTTTGTGTGCTTTTTGGACCCTTTTCCAATGGGTAACCATTATTAGCCTTACAATCTTGACCAATAGGGGTATATTTTATAAATATCTGTTGAGTAAATAGCAGATTCTCTGTTGATTGAATATTCATTTTGATTCATCTAAAGGAACATATGTATTTTTCTGTTATCCCTTCCAGATTTTAACCCAGTGGGGCCCATTTTTTTTTCCTACAAAAGCATTTCCATCAAATATTTCTAGATGGAAGAAACAATACTGTTTTTTTTTTCATTCCATGGACAAAAAACATGACTTTATGAATACGATTTGTAGTTATAGAACTAGTCTATTAGTGCTTATTGATTTTAAGTTGTTGAAATGATCACTTGTGAAGAAAAATTTCATGCATTGTTTTTTTGAGACAGTGTCTTTACTCTATGACTCATGCTGGCCTTCCAAACCTCTTTCTTTTGTTTTCAGAGTGTTAGGATTTAGGAATTCATCACCACACCCAGCTTTTTTGTTTGTGTTTAATTACTTCCCTAAAAGCTTCACATCTATAGGATGAAAATGCATAATATATTATTTGTATTTTTCAGTATACCTTTAAAGCAAATAGTAGCTGCCTTTCACTGAATTTTTGCTATGTGCTTGGAGCTTGCATACTTGAACATTGTAAAATGGCTTTATTATTTATATTTTTAGATGAGTAAACCAAGACTTAGTGATACTGATTTACTTTAATCATGGTCTATATCTAGGAAGCAGAAGAGCTAGGCTTTAGTTTGAGGACAGTCTGTAAAGCTTATAGGTATTTATTGTACTGTAACCCCTTCCCATTTCATTTTTATTTGTTCAAGACTAGTAAACTTCTGAAGACTTATCTGCTTTTATTTTTCTTAATAGCCACAATATGAGAACAGTCCAGTCCAGACTCCATTTTCAGAGCAGTCACTGTCCCATCCCCAACAAGAAGAACTTGAGCAAAAGCTAGCATCTACTGAGAAAGAAGTTTTACAGCTCAATGAGTTTCTCAAACAAAGAATAAACAAATTTAGTGAAGAGAAGAAGAAATTGGAGGAAAAGGTGGGTGTCTTGGGAAGACTGTGGTGGATTAACAGTTTTCTTCAACAAAGAATGCTTGTTTACCATTCGCCATGTTCCAGGTGTTCTTTCAGGTTATACATCCGTATTATAGTAACTAATGCTATGTACACCCACTTTCAAGAAACTTATGCTATCAGAAGAGGGTTAAAGACCTTTAAGTCTTAATTATACTTTTCTAACTAGTTGTGAAACTTTCTAAAGCCAGATGCCTACACCAATGGCTTCCTTCATTTTCCTTATTCTAGTTCTTCTTTCTTGGTCTCATTGACCATACAGCACTGGGGAATGAAGTGAAGCTATCTTCAAAGACTTACCTCAAGTTATTAAGCTCGAGCCCCTACTCTGAATAAGTAGACTTCATGTCATGCATATGTGGTTTTATATATCTATAAAAGACCTGTGATCCACAAATGGGAGAAAATAGTCAATATTTATCTTTCTGAGTCTGGCTTATTTTACTTATTGGGATGATCTCCATTTGCATCGATTTTCTTTCAAATGACATAACCCCATTCTTTATGGCTGAATTAAACTTCGTTACACACACACACACACACACACACACACATATGAGAGAGAGAGAGAGAGAGAGAGAGAGAGAGAGAGAGAGAGAGGAAAGAGAGAAAGAACTGTATGTTTGTTTGTATTATTAAAGCATCACATTGTCTTATTGTCTTCATCCATTCATCTGCTGATTGATACCTAGATTGATTCTATAAGTTGTCTGTTGTGAATAATGCTGTAATAAACATGGATGTTCAGGTATCCCTGTTGGGTGTTGACTTAGTGTTGTTCAGGTATGTGCTCAGAAGCAGTGTGGGCTGGGTTGTATTGTAATTCCATTTTTAGTTTTATGAGTAGCTGCTGTACTGATTTCCATAGTGGCTGGGCTAATTTACATTTTCTCCACTTCCCGCACATCCTCACCAGTGGCTCTGTAATTTGTTTTCTTTATGGGAGTCCTTCTGAGCAGGGTGAGATCTAATCTCAGTGTAGCTTATATTTGCATTTCCCTTATGTGCTAAAGGTGTTGAGCCTTTTCTTTTCACAGATTATCCATTTATATTTCATCTTTTGAAAACAGCCAGTTCATTCATTTCATTAGTCTGTTTATTGACTGGGTTGTTTGTTTTAAATTGGTCTTAGTTGTGAAAGCGTTTTCTGAATTTGAGATACAGACTGGGGGCTTACTAGGGTTACCTAATCTTGTTCAATAGTAGATGGTAACTTCACATAATACCTCAACCCTGGAGTGACCTCAGTAGAGGTTTAAGAAAGGAAGTGTGGTACAAATTCACTTATGGTACTATATAAAAATATCCTTACTTGAAGTATGTAAATTGGCTGACTTAGCCCCTTACTTTTTTCTAAATATTTGGTAAGTTCTCCTGGATTTGTTACTAAAAATGTAACAAAGTAGCTGATGTATCTTCTTTTTTTTTAGTTCATGTAAAGTATTTTGGTATAGCTTTAGAAAATTAGAAATTAGAATCTGTCCTCTAGAGATGAATATTTGCTTTGATGATTAAAAAACTATTTGTAGCTTTGTTTCTATGTCTTTCTTGGTACCTAATATCCTTTTAATTAAATCATTTTAACATAACATTATTTATGTGACAGAGATATGAATAACCTTATCCAAATTTGTATATGTATAGGCAATAAAATTTGATTATTACTGTCTCCTGGCTTAGTACAGTAAAATGCAGTCATTTGTAGATGCTGATGAAAATCCTCCAGATTCTTTATTTCAGATGTATAAATGCTTCAAGTAAAAGAAAAAGAGTCTTACAATGAATCAGTTGATGATTTTACTGTACTCTGAGACTCATTGATAAATTCAATGATATCCAAGAATGAAACTGTAATTTTCAGTAATTCAAAACAATTGGGGATTCATAATGTTTTCCTTTAGCTGAAAACCAGAGATAGATACATCAACAGCCTGAAAAAGAAATGCCAGAAGGAATCTGAGCAGAACAAGGAGAAGCAGAGAAGAATTGAGACCTTAGAAAAGTACCTGGCAGACCTTCCAACTCTAGATGATGTACAGAGTCAGAGTCTACAGGTAACGTGGTCAAGCATGCACCTTTGAAATGCTTGGTGTTCTAGAGATTTAGCTATTTAGAAATTACATACTCAATTACTGCTCTTAAGATATAAGTTGATTCTAAACTAAATCTACTGTCTTACTTATTGTTCTATTTTGAACTCTTTTTTTGTTTATTGTATGTATGTGTGATGTGTGTATGGAGGTCAGAGGAAAAGTTTGTGGAATTGGTTCTGATCTTCCACCTTTATGTAGGTTTCAGGCATCAAAGTCAGTCATCAGGCTTGCACTGAAAAACACCTTTATTTGCTGAGCCATCTCTTTGACCCCTAACATTGGTTTTGGAAGGTAGTAGTTTCTAAACTTAGTTGTTAATTCTATATCATATATCTATTTACTCTATTCGCTCTAGTTTTGGTTTTGTTCAGTGTTCTCTGGGATTCAAAACTCTTTGAGACTTGTCTTTATAAATGTTTATTTTCTTTACTGTTCTTAGTCTTGCTTTAATTTTTAATATACCTTGATCTGTAACCTCGCTTCACTCCTCTGACTTCTAGTTTCCCTTCTTAATACCTCATTCCGTCTCTTTACCAGTTCTGGTGAAGGCTTCTTGAAGCATGAATGCACTCTAGTCTTCTCAGTCCTTCCAAGCCATGGGTTCTGAACCTAGGCTCAAACAACATTTGGGGAGCAGTTGTTCTGTGTGGTTTACCTTGTGCACTGCAGGATATGTAGTTCTTGTAATTAGTCCTCCTGACCTCTACCTCCTAGATGATCATACTGCTTCTTCTCCCTCAAAGCAAATGATGGATATTTGTCAATTTCTTGTGAAAAATCATCTTGTAAAAATCATCTTCAGTTGAGAATTATTTATATAATTTTCAGATGTATATAGACAAAATTAATTTATAAATTATAAAACTAAAATGTTAAATATAGGAAGGCACTAAAGGATCATAGGAGATTACACAAGCAGGAAGAGGCAGCAGTAAAGAATTAAAACACATGGGATCATAATACCTAATACTCATTAGGATAGCCACTACCAAGAATCATGGTGCTCATAGACCCTGTTTATAGCAGTAATATTTACAAGAATCAAAATATAGAACCAGTAAGGTGTTCACAAATGGATGAATAGGTACACAATACATAGAACTGAATAATGTTGAATCTTATAAAGGAAGGACATTCTGGCACATTCTTCATCATGGTAGACCTGGAGAATATTTTATAATAAAATAATAGTAAAGTAAGCCAGTCATAAATAGGCAATATTGTATGGTTATATTATATGAGATTCAAAAGCAGTTAACTTACAGAGATACAGAAAGTAGTGTTGTAGTATGTGGGGTAAGTAGTGATTGGAAAGAAACTTAGTAGGTACAGGTGTATAAGTTCTGGGAATTGTCACTGTAACAGTCTGGATGTCCCTAATAGTAAAGAGTCATAAATCCAGACATGGTTATGATGTTAATTATAAACATATATTATGAACTTTTCTGTGTTCCAGAAAATGTTATCTAGTTTTCTGCTTCATAATCCATTCTCCCAACTCTTTCAAATAGGAAGCAGCAGAGTGAAATTCTTTAGATAAAGTATAAATAAGTCAATTTAGCCCTGAGAAGAGTAGGGATTTTAATGGCAGTATATTTAGTAGTGCATGCAATTCAAACTGTAAACATTTTTCCTTAGCTGCAAGTTCTTGAAGAGAAAAACAAGAATTTGCAAGAGACTCTGATAGACACAGAGAAGAAGCTTGAGGAGATTAGGAAGCAGTGCCAAGACAAAGAAGTGCAGCTACTGTGCCAGAAGAAGAAGGAAAAGGAGCTGGTGACTTCTGTTCAGAGGTGAGGGGACCTTCCATGTCTTCACTCTCTTTAACCTGCCACTATCACCATAAAGTATGTTCTACATAAGCAGTACTTCGTCATTACATAAGCAGTACTTCGTCATTACCTTAGTGTCCACCTTAGAAATGTGCTATGTCATTTTACTGAAGCTGATTGATTCAGTTGTAATTTGTTATTTTGAAGCACTATACGAGCATTTTGCCAAAAATTTTAGGTGAAAATAGCAAAAGAATGAACAAAGAAAGTCAACTCAACAACTAAAGCCTGAACATACCATTTCAAACTCTTTAGTTGAAGGTTTTATCAAAACTGGTAAAATTCTAAACAGCAGAAAGTAACTTATAAAATAGACTACACTCCTTCATAGAGCGTGCACCAAAGGGGATTGATGGGGTCTGTTTTCATCTCACTGTGAATGACTGTACTTTCCAGACCCACCTGCATACCTCGCCTCATTTTACACTTTAAAATCTGTCAGAGGCCATGAGAGTTGCAGCAGATGACAGTGTTCAGATGTCAACCTCCCAGAGGAATGGTTCTCTGATGGAAGTTAATGCTTTCCAGGCAAGGTCTGTAGAACCATCCACTCTGGAAACTGTTTCTCACAAAGCTAAAGCAGCTTGGTGTCTCCCCAATACCTACATTGTAGTGTGTGAGCTCATGTGATGTATAAAGTAATTTCATGATTACATCTCAGTCTTATGGGCACATGTATCTGTGGATGATCAGAAAGGTGACTTTTCATTTACCTGTATAATTTTGATACATAGAAAATATACTAGGACATACTTCATAACTAGATCTATTTGTTCCATAAGAACTGTAGATATTTAAAAACCTGCTTTGTTCCTTTTTCTCAGAGTAACTGCACACAATTATCTGGTTTTTACCTCAGAGCAAGTTTAAACTAGACTAAAGGCTTTTTGTAAATAGATCCTAAGTTTAAAACTTTACAGCTATACACAGATGTCCAATGGAGGTTGCTAACACAGAGCCCCCTAAGAAAAGCGTGCCAATTCTTTGCTTGCCAAGTATGCTGACAGTAGACCTATGTCTCAAAGTGTGTCACTGGGTACTGTTCCCCCCTGCCCTAGTCTGTTTTCACTCTTACTCCTGTAACCTTTGAACCTTGTGTTGCCATGGTAAATGGCTCAGCTACTTATCAATTACCTTAGGAATATGCTTTTGACTAATGAGAGGCAACTCTTGTAATTTTTTTTTTTTATATAGCTTCAAGGCTCCTGTAAGAAAGAGAGTTTCTAGTCTAGAAAAAAGAAGCTAGGAGGAATTAGAATAAGGACAGGAGAATTAGAATAGAAGCAGAATAATAAAGAGGCTTGTTTGGAACAGTGTGATGTGAGACAATTCACTTGCCCTCAGATACCCTAAGAAAAAAGTGCCTTTTGCTTTCGGTATTGTCCAGTCTTAACTCTGAAGTCTCCAGTAATACAGTGACTAACATTTGTTGGTTTCCTGAGCTTGTGCTCAAACTTGGAAATTTTTATTATAAAAATTATAAAAAATTTTATAATAAAATATTAGAAAACTGTTACATGCATAAGTTTATATTCTTTTCATAGCCTTTAACCTTATTATCAATCATAAATAGATAAAACTATCCAAAAAAGTCAAATAATAAAACAGCAAAAATCTGATTAGTGTATTAGTTAGAAACTTAGTATATTCATGTTAATATTTTATTTTTTAAATCTAAAATGTACTTGGTTTACTATTTTCTCTTAGATTTAAGTACAATGGACTCTCTGATTTCTGTTCTTGATGTCAGTTCCCAAAAGTGGGAACTGACATTTTTATACCAATATTTTTTCTTTTTTGCACTTTAATTTTTCAATGAATCCATAATTTATACAAACTTTTTTAGTCTTTAGAAAACTTCCTGATCTTCACTAATTTAACCATTTTATCTTTGCTGACAATAATAATAACAGTGCCTGTGTTTTGTAGGTCACTGTTACTGAGGAAACTTAAAACTGTGGAGCTTGGAGCCATCATAGCATTTCTGGAAGATTACTGAATGCCATTTTGTCTCACTGTTTGCTTTTGCAGATTTGTATCATTTTCAGTGTTCTCTTTTGTTAGGCTTTTGTAGAACACTAAGCCACAAATGATTCATTTGCAAGGATTTATATAATGTGTTCTAGAAAATATTTTCCACTTTAAATTTTATCTTGAGACTGACATAGATCTATCTTAGATGATTCCTCTTGCTTTTATGTAAAAGTTTATTTTTAACTCTCTAGTATTTATATTGACAGTGGCATCACATATTGTTGAGGGATAGGAATGGTATTTAAGTTTCCTTGGCTCTAAAATATTTCTTATATTTTGAAAGAACTTCAGGTGTGTATAAGACTATGAATTATTACAGTCTATATAGTGTTTCATAAATTAAAGCTTTTCATTAGAAATGAAAAAGTAAAAATGCATAAATTAGTTCTACTTTTCAAAAGCTTTCTTACTTTTGAAAATGGCCTTGATACATAATTCAAATGTATGCACGAAAGAAAACTTGGTGCTGTACAGTAACATGGTAATTCCTTCCTTATTATTGGCTCTTTAAATTTTAAAGGTTGTGTATGTTCATGTGGGTGTCCATGTGTATGACAGCTGGGGGTCAACTTCTGGTATCATTTCTCTGGAGCTATTCACCTTGATGTTTGAGACAGAATCTCTCAGTGGTCAGAAACTTGTCAAGTAAGATAGTCTAGCTATCCATTGAGCTCCAGGGATCTTCCTATTCCCAACTCCCCTGATTGACAAGCATGTTTGCTTTATTAACATGGACTTTGGGGCTAGAAGTCAGGTCCTTGGACTTGTACAGACTGACTTATCTCCCCAGACAGAAAGATCTTAAATTTTAAAGTACATTTTATCCTCTTGTAATGCTGTTAAGTACATGGAACATAGTGTTTTACATCAAGTTGCAAATTATAATTGTACTTGAGTTTGAAAAAGTAAATACTTTTTGCAACAACTAACAATGTATTGTAATATCAATACTACATAAATGATCACTAATGCCCTTAGTTATAAATATATCCGAAGCCCTTATTTTGCCTCCTAGTGCTATCAGTTCTTTTCCCTCAACCTAAGTAGTGTCATTTCTTCTTATTGAAGAAGATGGCTTTAGATTGCTATAATAATTGAAAAAACAAACAAAAAAACAAAATCAGAGTTATAAAAGAATTTTCCTTCAGTCATCTGCAGCTTGTTTGTTTTGAGACAAGGTCTTGGCATATGTAGACCTGGCTGGCCTGGTACTCACTGTTTAGCCCAAGGTGGCCTAGAACTCTGAGCAATCCTTATATATCAGCTGTCTAAGTACTAGGATTCCAATTACGCACTACCATGAATGACATGGTTTGCTTTTACCAATCACTAATCTTCCATTCTGATGGCTAATACCTCCTTTCCCTCTATCTTTTGTTTTTTTGTTGAGAAAGTTTTTTGCATAAAGTATGTTTTGGTCATTTTCTACTCCCCCACTTTCCTCCCAGATCCTCCCACTCCCCTACTCAGATACATGCTTGAGTGCGTGTGCTAGCGCGCGCGCACACACACACACACACACACACACACACACACACACA